TGCTGCTGGCTGCCTGTGGAAGGCCTTATCAGCTTCCTCATCCTGATCAGGTGGCCTCTAACAGACACTCACCACAGCATCACCCATGCTGGCCTGCCCTTTCATTTTCACCCACAAACTCTCAACTTGCTCCTCATCTGCCCCCGGACAGAACTCATATATTCTCGTTGCTCTCTCACGTAAAGAGCAACTCCACCACCTCGCCTTGTTGGCCTGTCATTCCTAAAAAGGACAGAGCCATCCATGACCACGTTCCAGTCCTGTGAGCATGTCTCTCTAATTGCCACCAGATCGTAACTCCTTGACTGCACACAGATTTCTCCATAACTAAATGCAGAAAGATTTCAGCCAAATCATTAAATGACATTGTTCTCACCATATCATGTACAAAGCTTAAAATTTACCATCAGGAATGTTCATAGTGTGTTAAATACATATGACATACACTAATTCTTTAAGGAAAGAATCAAATTACATTAACCTCAGGAGAAACAAAAAGTCATTTTGCTTCATATATACAGCTGAAAGAGTGACAACTAATGTTAGTCTTGTTCTTGAACAGGGTTTATGGGCTTCCTGTACTTACAGTACAAAAGGAAGATATTCTGCACTCAGTCAACCAAAAAACGTTTCACAAGAATCAGGATACAACAGTTTCTCAGTTTTGTTATTGTTAAAACACAATTAAGTACCTGTCATATATTAGCCCATGAACACCATATTCTCTTAACTTCTTCCTGTTATCTGGGTCATTTGCATCATCACCCCAAGAAAAAATAACTAGGCCTTTAGATTTAGCCCTTTTAATAAACGAGGGATTCCTCAGGAGATCTTCAGAGTGCACATTAATTCCCTGAAATACAAAAAGACTTCAGTTAAAATCCATGTTTCTGAAATACCTGCAGCACCTTAAAATTTCAGCCACAGCAATTAAAAATAATTTAATAAAACTAAAAAATTACTGATAGCACTATTTTTTAAATAATGTATTAAAGAGACATTCAAAATGAAGGATATTATTTTGGCAGTTAACAAATGTTAGTGTACTTCTTTAATCAGGCTCAATTTTAAGCATAGTGTCAAAACCAAGAGATTTACAATAAGTAGTAATAATTTAGTTCCATTTTACTGCAGAGTCATACCAGAACTGGTCAGCTTACCAGCAAGTTCTCAAACTGTGCAAAAGTAATGGCAATTGGAGTTGTACGACATCTAAGATCCATAAGTTCTGGATACAGTTTAGATTCTCCTTGAGTAAGAAATAACACAGGATACTTGTTTTGCTTATGCCTAACCCTGTTGAGAAAAAAACAAAAGTCTCCAAGTAGGAAATGTGATAAAAAGCAGAGAAACGCAACCTCAACTGTCAGAGGAGAATTACCCTCTCTACTGCATGTTCTTACAGTTCCTAGCTGATACTGCAGTTTAGTGTCAAACTACATGACAAACTGCTCCAACTGTTCCTCTTGCCACTATCTGAGATTAACATACAGTGTAAGAAAAGCTAGACTTAGGTTAAACTCAGATTCACATCCTCAGAACACTTGCATAAAACCCTCCAAGATAGTTCAACTCTGCAATTCCCTTTTTAAACGCATGCTAGGGTAAAATGAAATTACAACAGATGGAAGCAAAGTTTTGGGATTAGCATGTTATGCATTCTTACACATTTGCCTCTGAAAATTCTTGTCAGTACCATGATTCGGTTTTGTTATGTTCATCTACTCTTCGGTGGGCTTCCACCAGCTCAGAAGGCAAAGTGGTCTCATTTCAATTCCCAACTATTTTGGCACCCAAAGTCTAGGTGTAATCAAAACATGTTTTATTTGTTTCCTATTGGGTATTCTTACAGCCAAAGTAATTTTTACCCCAAAGAAGGAAAATAAGAAAATACATTCTTTATCTCTTCTTAACTTACATTGTACAAATATCTGCATTAAAAGAAGAAAATACAATTCTTCTTCTTCCAGCATTCATCAAAACAGTTTTTAAAATAATATCTAGAAAGAGATTCATATCAAAGTAAGTTGACAAGTTGCCATCCCACTGTCCATCCTAGAAAAAGAGAGGTCAAGTTTCAGCTATTTAAATTAACTCTTACTAAAATTATTTTAACAAGCAATGGTTTTTCATTTAACCTGAGCAAAACAAGAATCTAGTTCACCAGTTTGAATACAGAATTCACTCCTTCAGTCTACTGAATGGAAGTTACAGCTCTACAGGACAGTCAGTCTGCAACGTGCACCTGAATTCTAACCTAAGATACACTGAGAAATTCACTGTCTTTCCATCCAAGGAGAGAGTTTCTATGAAGCCTTTTTTCTAATTTTGAAAACACAAGGGAACCCCATGAAACTTCACTAAAGACTATTACAGATACTCCGTATCACTATTTCTAAATATAAAAATGCAACAACAAGATCTGTACAAGTAAGATATCCTTTGTCTCTGAGAATAGCAGGTACCAGTCTTTCTGCAAGTGACTGTCTCCATGGACTGTGTCCATGCATCCAGCCTTCCACCTACCACCCAAGTTACTTAAGTTTCCTTCCCCCCCACTCTAAGCTTCTAGACTGAGCACTAAGCAATCCAGCCGAGTCTGCAGGACCGCTAACTAGAAGCAACCAACTGTCTGTATTACAGCACCACGTTGCAGCTACTCCTGCGCCAGGCCAGGAGAGTCTGAATTTCTTGTCTCTCTTCCCACGTATAGCACGCATGACCTGTTGTGATCCACTGACTTTCAAAAGGGTCTTTCACTAAAATCAGTCTGTTGTTTTAAAAGTATGTGTGCTCACTGGCTACAGCAGTGCTATTATGCTGCTAGATAATGCATCATAATAAAACAAGAATCACAAAAAACTACACCTTGGTTTGTAGCTCATAAATTGCCATGTTAAATCACAATCTTTAGCCATAAGAACTGCAATGTATCAAAGTAAATCACACGGACATTTACTTACCCTTTGTTGACAGATCCATTTTATTTCTATGTTGAACCCAACATCTTCTGAAACCGACTCCAGGACCTGAAAAAATTTCATTATGCAGAGACCCCCACAGCAACAAAGGACCACTAAGCACTGTGAGGATAATCACTGGGAGAATACATCGGAATTTTATGGCCAACAGAGTCTAACAGTAGAATAAACCCCCCTATGTTTTAAATATTAAACACAAGATACATATACACCTTTTTCTACTTCAGTTTCAAGTTATTAAATGCATAAAAATGGATAAAATCTTAAAAGGACAAAAATTCTGACAGGGTAAAATTTAAGTCAATTCACCCTAGTATGTGTGAGAAATGCCCCACTTGTACTCCTAAATGTTTTTTATTCTCCAGGAAGTTTTTTTTAATGCAAAAAATATTCTAAGCAACACACAGGAGCAAGTATGAAATCCATAGGCTTGCCATTATGATGAGATCAAAAATACATTAATTCCTCGTAAAGTATTAATTGCAAGGTGACTTCCAAACCTGAAGCTAACAGCTAATGAAATGAAGGAAATATTGGTAGACTATTCCTTAACCCTGTAAAGATGACAGGTACAGAGGGGCCTAACATACTTTTTTAGAGGAAGAAAATTAAATTTAGGAAATCAAAACAGGTAGAGGAATTGAACCTCATACTTTAGTCTATCATATTAAATTTCTGTAGTTATGCAGCCATCTGATTAGACAGTAAAAAACCAAAAATACAGTGGCATATATGACCTGTATTAGATAGATATTTCATACATATTCTGACCTAAGCCTGTGACCTCTGAGGTCCCTTCCAACCTAATCCATAAATAACTAAACACTAATTATTTCCAGAGTCCAAATAAAAAGCAGTTATTTACTGTACAGAAAAAGTCCCCTAAAGGCATATTAATGAGCAGTTCAGACATTACGAAAAATAGTAACGGGGAAAAAAACCTAATAGCTCTAGAAAAAAATAGCATAAATAGTATCAAACTGTATTTGGTCAAAAATTGTCAGTTGCTCGTGCAAAAAATAAGACAAAGCCCAGATTTGGCAGTCACAAATGGGAACACACTACAAAAATCACTCAACATTTCTCTGAGTCTGGCTCTGCTAGGCAGCCAAGAGCAGGTGATGAACTGCCAAAGGCCCTTTTTTTTTAACCCCAAATTAGCAAAAAGTTGTCAATGCATTGAAATGCAATGTCCAGATGTTATCTAACTGTAAAACTGAGGTACGCAAACTATTACTTCTAAGCTCTGAAATGGCTTCAGTGGCCAAAAATAATGTCTATATTCTCAGTTCCACCTTTGATATCAGAGATGTAAAGCCAAAACCAACAAAAAACCACATTTATTTCTGCTCTGCAAGCATAATCTCTATTGGTTTACGTTCACTGCTTACTCTCTGCAGAGAAGGGAACGGCTGGGTCTCAAAAGCAGAGTCTTCTTCTTCTTTAAAAGGTGCTAAAAAGAAACACAAAAATATTGAATCAAGACAAATAGCAGCACTGCTAATCCCAGCAAGAAAAGACTGGCTAAAAATCTTAAGGCCTTTAAGACTAAAGAATGACATCAGGTCTATCTTTCGATTACCTAAGGCTTCTCTCCAAGACTGACATACTCTTAACAACCTGTGTTGCCAATTTCTGTTTTGCCAGTGGGAAAATATTTTGACACCCATTAAAGGCCCTGCCAAGAGTATTTATGAAAAACAGCTTCTCCCATCCCTCATGCCACCTCAGTTACTGAACCACATCCAGTAGAAGCAGCCTTGCCTGTCAAGGCTTATTATTTACTTTATCTTTTCCCAGACAGTTAGGATGTGCGAGATACTTTGCCATTTTGCTGTCCCTATAGAGGGAATGAACTAGGGCCAAAAACTTACAGCACCCTTAAGACACCCTACAGGGCACCCTAAAGTTCTTGTTAGCAATTCTGAAGGACAAGAGCTGACAAAAAGGTAGTGAGAGAAGAATAAGACGGAAACATTCGTGGCAATTGTTATGAATATTCATAAATACGAATTTATCTATGCATTCATCTTCTACTCTTCCCAAGGGAAGGACTACCATCCAAAAGTAAATATTGTCCATGTATTTACTTCCAAGCAAAGAACTCTACAGCATGCACAAAACTGAAGCAATTCCATAAGCATTTAGAAATGCTGAGAAAGAAACCAAACGCAATTAGGTGACTGCAACCACAGAATATATATCATTACATGGTATTAAATCTCAAGCCTCTTGCAAACTAGTACATACCATTGTGATCTTTTACTTTCAGGGCAGTCACATGAGCCAGCTAAGGACCACAAGAGAGTAAAATTAACAAATATTCCACCCACAGAGATCCTGCTACATGTAAAAGATAAGAACAATTCATAAGGGAAATTAGTTAAGCCTAAGGATTTAGTTTTAGTAATTTGTAAAAGAATAAAGGAAATCCTAGCACACATCACAATTTTATTTCAAATTTTAAAACATAAAGACGCTATGGAAAGCTGAAAAGCAAACAAAATATTCTTACTGAAACTTCAGAACTTATGTTCAAGTGTAGAAAAACACATAATATAATCGAACATTAAGATGCAAACAAGTCTGAACATAAAAGCTTATTCTTTCAGGTGTCAGGCTCCACGACAGTGGTTTTATAATGTAGTCACCTACTGAGATAGAAAAAGGCCAGGCATAGAGCCAACTCCCTCTCTCTATTCAAATTCTGTCTCCACAAAAAAGGAGGAGGAGATTAAACAGTTTAAAGTAAAATCACAGAATGTCTTAGGTTGGAAGGTGACATTAGAAATCATCTAATCCAACCCTTCTGCCACAGACAGGGACACACAGCTCTTGGGTCAGCCAGGTGCTTCCTCCACTGAGGACCGATACGTCCCATTCCCTCACCTCCCTTTTACGTCAGCAAGGCACTTTCGTTCAGAAGGTACGGTGACACCCAACCAATAATTCACACCACTGAAGTACAGACCCTTCTACACCTCCACACGCACCTCCAAGGAGCAGTTCAACATGATTTAGATCTCCTTTTTTAACAGGGAAACATTTGAAAATTAGATAGACTTTATGACAACTTTCATCTTCAACAAAGGCTCCTGAGCACTGGCTTTCCATGAACCCTACAACCACTTTCAACCTTTACTATGTTTTTTTAAGTTATCAATGTTAGCAGAATCTACACAAGTTGTCAGGCAATCTTTCTGAAAGATTAAGTAATAAAACATATTCATGCTGTAAGGAGGGTTATTCCTGGAGTTAGCTACTCATTTTACTTGTAAAATTTTTACAATTTGTGCTCTCCCAAGCTATCTATAGTTACTCTAAAAAAAATAATTTTAATCTAAGTTTCCCACACAATTCAAAATTCTACGTGCAGCGTGTTATACTAGCCAAAGTAACAATACCTTCAATAACTGCAGCTGATCAAATGTGAGTTCTTTGACTGCAATCTCAAACAGCTCCAAAGGCTCTGTATCCAGTTTCTTTGAAGAGAAATAATGCTTCATTAGGCATCACTGAAAGCCACAAAAAAAGCCTACATGGTTTTAACATGGTAACATTAAAGATGAGTAATTTTTTTCTCTTTTATTGATAAAGATACAAGTGCTATCTTATAATACAAGTAAGATGACCAATTTTCAGGAGACAACATGGGCACTCGGAAGCATAAAACAGATGACAATTTGAAAATACAGGATTTGGTATTTCATGCAAGTCAGAGGGTTCACTGTTCTTTCTTCAGAAAAGGTTAGCATTTGATCAGTTCATGTATTCAGGAAGTAAGTTTGTAAGTAAAGAAATGCATCAAAAAATACTTCAAGACAGTTCAGTTTATTATTGTATATCCAATGTTTCAGAAGCAAATCAAAAAGATCATGGTAAAAACAGACACACACACACCCCCCACACCCTCCAAATAAAGATCACCTCCCATCTTCACTATAAAGAACTCTACTCAACAAGGCAATAGTGATTCATTATGCGCTGAATATGCACTTTTAGTGAAAGTTTCATTTCAACAACTGTTCAAAACCAAACGTCTTATAAACAGCAATATCGCAATGGGTGTGAGAATTTGATGACACAAGACTTAGTCAAGAAGAAAGAATTTATCTTGCTCTGCCATGTTATCTTAGTTTTCACTAGAGAGGAAAAAAACTAGAGCAGAATAGAGTCGAACCTCTTAACTGCTGCTGAACGCAAGTATTCTAGCCTCAGCAGAGAATATGCAAGACAGAAAAGCACCTCAGTGGTTTTTTTGAGTCATTGGTCCTTATGTTTTGTTATTAAGGAATGTAACATCACTTTACACTATGAAAACGTTCACTTGTAATGCTTCATAAAAGCTTTGGTATTTAAGAGATACGGTGATAAACATTCCCTAAAAGGTGCTCTGAACAGTCTGTGCATACAAGTAACAGAACTGTTCACTGCTGTTTGTAAGGGCATGTGTTAAGAAGGTACGGGGCAATGGTTTTAAACTAGAGCAAGGCAGATTTAGATTGGACATCAGGAAGAAGTTGCTTATTATGAGGATGGTGAGACACTGGAACAGGTTGCCCAGAGAAGACGTGGACATCTCACCCCTGGCGATGTTCCAGACCAGGCTGGATGAGGCTTTGAGCAACTTAGGCCAGCGGGAGGTGTCCCTACCCATGGTGGGAGGGGTGATGTGTGCAAATAGATGGTTTTTATGGTCCCTTCCTACTCAAGCCATTCTATGATTCTTATGTCATAGGTACTCTCGATGCTTAAACACATAGCAGAAAAGAGATTTTTATTAAAAAAAAAAAAGAACCACAACCTCACGAAGTCAGCAATGAAAGGGACAAGACACTTGCTTTTCAAGAGCTATTTTCCCACTCCTAGAACCTCTCTATATTAACTTCCTTCCTCCTGTTCCACCGATCAATACGAGTTCTTCAGCCTCATTTACTTTCCTAACGAGACATGAAGTATAATGTTTATCTCACAGTAAATGGACAGAGCAAAATGCTTAAGTAAAAAAGCGTTAAAAAAAGAGTTATAGAAACTAATGAAAGCTAAGCCATTTGCAGCTAATCAGACTCCCAAAATGAAGGAGGTCCTTGTTTCTTTTACTTTTCTGCCTTCCATCTACTGGCTACTCCTGAGATACAAAACCAGGTAGACTTAGGTTTGACCCAAAGAGTACGTAACTGCTTAAGAGAAGTACACATTTAAGCATAAGCAGGAGTGGTAAGTCATGCTGAGAATCACCCTACCTCTCCCTCAGTAAAGAAACCACCAGAAGTCCTTACTCTGACAATCTAAAAGAATCTCAGAGGTGCTACTGAATATAGTGGAGCTGTTTGTATTTTTCTTCCAAACCATAAATACAAGAAAAGCTAAAAAATAACTACAGTGTAGGTTTAAAGAGTCTCAAATAATGCATCTGAAATGCTATCACCAAAACATCATAAGGAAAAACTCAACTTCCCTGCTCTACTGTATGCATACAGTAATGCTCTATATTTATTCCAATTACATCCATTGATTCAGCAGAACTACTCCTGTAAGAGCTTAGCACTTCAGTTTCTGGAACGGCCACATTTAAAGATAACATACAGATATTTTCTTTACCTTCTTCATGGCCATGCAACACGTAAGATCGTGGTATACAATAGGCACATGATCTTTGGAGAGGTGTACATCAAATTCCACATACGCTGCTCCCTACAGAAAATTCAAAACCACACAGAACAAAACAAAATGCCATTAACTATTGATGCACAAAGACTACAGAACCTTAGACAAATTTCCAAGTATTCAGAGGTCCTGGACATCAACCAGAAGTTAAATGCAACTGGCTGTTACCAGTCAAATCATACTCAACAATGGATTAGGAAAGGAAAAAAAAAAAAGAAAGAAAAAACACACCATAAAAAGCACTCACAGATGGGAAAGTATTTTAAATTACCATAATGCAGGTCCAACATATATAACTCGCTTAATCTCGTAAACCCTCTAACAAAATTCAAGTACTGTAAACTTGACCTCAGAGAAAGGCTAAGATTAAGTTTTTAAAACACAGTTGCTTTTGTGGTACTCTTCCTCCCTCCTCTCCACCACCCCAATGCAAGACAAACTACGCACAAGCAAAGCTTTAGGAAAGATAATCCATACGCTGAGGATCTTCCGGAGACACTAGTGAATAACAGTAGTGTGTTATAACATGTACAAGGGCAGAAGTAGCTGCAGAAATAACAACTGTATGTTATTTTCTAAGAAGGTTAAAAAAAGGAATAAAGATCAAACAGTAGCTCTAAGCAAGATCTTTTCAAGAACAGAGAGGGTCAGAAAGGGAGAGATAAAGAAGCACATAGAACCATTTTTTAAAACTTATTTTGACTTCCTGTATACCATTCCTTTCAAAGGCCTCCAAGAATATCATTCAGCAAATTATAATCTCACTTGTATATTCTTTTTCAATAAGTACAGAAAGAAAATATGCCTTTTCCAGCCCTTTTCTTAGCAGTAGTATGTGTAGAGCAGAGGCTTTCAGCCTTTTCAATCTGCAATAGCTGAAAGTACTTTTCCGGTGATGTTGCTGACAACTTTATAGTAAACTTCTCTCTCAGTGCATATTTCTTGTGGGCTTTTTATAAGGTGTCTATAAACCTGCAGCATCCACCCAGAAATCAAGAACTACTGTTCTTGATTACCACAAAAATAATTTAGTAGGTGTAGTTTTCTTTTGCTCTGCAGTCTGTGAATGTTCCAGGCACAGTGCTGAATATACTAACTCCCAAACAAGAGAAACTTCACCTGTGACTCTTGGGGAGTACAGTACTCCAGAACCAGCAGCCTATAAGCATAATACTCCACATTCTGCTCCACTGCTGACAACTTCAGAAGATGTCTGGTAAGAACCTACACTAGTGAAGAAGTAACGGAAAAGGCTCAGGAACTCAGCAGGTTAAGCAATAAGTGATCTCATAGTAGCATCTTTGTGACTGTAACTACAGCTTCTCATTGTGAAAGCAGGAGCTAGACAAGGAACCTCTGAATGTACTTCTGGCTCCAGCTGCTCTGCTGCAGCGTGTATCACTAGATTGTTTAGATTAATTTTTTTCCATCAATTCTGGGTACTCGACAGTTTCTGAGCAAGACCTTTGCCATCAGACAGTATGCTGACAGACTCTAGCAGAGACAGAATTTTATTCATTTGTTGAAAAATTATTCCAACCCCATGTCTCTGCAGGGCAGAGATCAAAACCTTCCCCATATCAGAACACCACCAGAACATATTAGATGGAAGTTTTGATTTTTTTGAGGAACTTGATAATGAGGGTCTTATCCAGCTATTACCTTCCTTCCTCTCAGGGAATTTCCACAGTGATTTGATGAAACTTCCTATCAGCGTAATTACTATTCATTGTATTGCATCACTGAAATTAAGCATACAAGCCAAGGTAGTTTTAACTGTACCAGTACTATGTGCAAATGTGCGTACATACGTGACTAGCAGCATTCCTCATAGAGGCAATAGTGTTCTCTTGAACTTTAGCGAGTCTGAAATAACAGGGGAAAAAAAAAAGTTTTGTTAGATTCAGCATAGCACAGAAGTCCATTGAAACAACAGAAATACTGTTTTAGAGAACACGCACATATGATATTGAAGTGACTTAAACAATTATGGGTCGTAGCTTTTTATTTTAAACTGTCCACTTCCTCAACTGATGACAGTGAAACTAAACATAATTCCCACACAGATAAAATTGCAAATGAACTTACTTAGCTGTTGTTGTAGAATTTCCTGCTCCCCTGTGTCCAACATCTAGAGTTGTTCTTGGTTTCCAGTATTTTGCATATGAAGCCTTCATATCACAGGTGTATCCCTGGATCGGCTTAATAATTATGTAGTCCACTACAAGGAAAATACCAAATGCTTCACATGTAGATAACTTAACTTGAAGCCATCCATTATCTATTCACATCTGTTTGCATCAACTGTACCTCTAACTTTTCCAATTGTCTTCCTTGGATTTCTGCTCATAATAGCAAGTGTAAGAATTCCAGCACTCTTCCCAAGTTCTGCAATTGTGGATGACAGGAGGCAGGCAGAACCTACATGACCTGGGAGCACATCGCCTTGTACTACTTTCTCACCTAAATCTTCCTAAAAACAAAACAAACAAACAAAAAACCACACCTACTGTTACATGTAGGTGAGAATTCTAAATAAACTCTTCTTTCTTGCTCCTCAGGAAGATTTACCCAGGAACTGATGTCACAGAAATTTCTTGTGTGTTAAAAAATACAGTAATTTCAGGCTAAAAAAATAGCTTAATCTAACAGTGTGTTGCAAATTACTACCAGAAATTTGAAGTTATTGATGGAAATCTACAAAAAACTCTTGCACATTTGTCTTTCAAAACTCTTGGATTTGATAAGCTTTTCAGATCAAACTGCACACCTGGAAAAGTCTGTCTTCTAAAAAGCCCGAGTCATGTTTAGAACAAAGATGAACTGGAATAATCCATATGCTTAAAAAAAATTTCATATTCATTTGCAGGGAAGGAGGAGGGCAAATAACATACAGAATATGTATTTGACCATAGTCAGTATCAAAAACTATGTAGCCACTTTACAATTATGAATGAACATAAGTGACCTTAAGGGCATTTGCAGACCAGAGGGAGAACGCTTGAAACTTTTTTCTGCGTAAACAGCACAAAAATAGACAAAAGCTGTTTTTTTAAAAAAGGACTTGGAATATTAAGATCCTCTGGGGGGGATAAGAGTGCATAGTAACAGATGTAGCAGTGAGAATCTGTGCATATCCACTTCTAATTTGCACTGATTAGTTCAGAGAAATGTCTTTTGTTTCTAATCTAAAAATTAAAAATAACTGTAATTAAACTAGTTAATTTACACATTGTTCAAATTCAAGAAAAATAATCAAAACTTAGCTCTGGTAAAGGATAAAAAGACAACATAACTACATGCAGCGCTGCACTCTATTGTGTCTACTTTGTACTGACTTCTAAACACGCAGAAACTGCAAAAATTTCTGTGCCATATCAAGATACTCACCGTAGTAATAGCCAATAGTCTCATAATTTGTTTACACATGTCCAAAAGATAAAGAAATGTTAGGCAATAGACCTATCCCAACATTGAACTCTTCATGGTAATTAATTCCCAAAGGCAGACTGCAAGTGCTTCTTGATCGTAGACATACCTCAAAAAAATCAAAGATTAATTCCAAGTTGTCAGGCTCCATGGTTTGTATTGTGTATTCTATCCAGCGGTCTGGCTGCAAAGCGTAACCACACTCTGGCTGAGAGTGCCGACATTTATATTCGTTGTTACTTATTAAGGAAAATTCCACAGTGTTTGCCATTTTCTGAGGGACAGTAGGGGATGTTTTCTCTTGACCCTCTTCATCATCATCTTCCTCTAGGCCTTCTAGAGTCAATTTCACTCTACTCAACCAGAAATACAAAACAAATGGTGAAGTCACAGAAGTGTCTTTGGAAACACTAAAAACTTAGAAGTAAGCTCGAGCAGAAGCTTATATAACTCAGTTCTCAACACCACCATATTCAGGACAGCACAATGGGCCCTCACAAGAGTCAAGAGTTTGCAGCTGTTGTCTAAATCCTCCTTTGATCGGGTTTCATTATTACACAGAGCAAACTTTCCAGAGAGGATGAATTACGCAGTGATGGAAGTATCTGTGAGTAACCCAAATCCCTTTCTGAATCAAACAGCAGATGGGATAGTTACTATTTAGTTAGACTTCCATTCACTAGTAAAACTGAAGTTGTACCTCAAAGGAACGATTACAATCATAGAAATCCTTTACACTAACTCCACATTCTTAACATCCTCATAAGAAAAGAAGTCACAACACAGACTTGAAAACACTCCACCAACTCGAAGAATGAGACTGGCATGGCGAGTGATGGTCATTTTTTAGGCAGAATGTGGACAACAGTATCTAGCAAACGCATCCATCTTACCAAGTTCAGATTTCAACAATTTAATTAAGACAAGGATCAGGCTTCAGAAATTCTCTACCTGCTATAAAACACACAGGGGAAAAATTGCAGAGTTCTAGAGAACAGGACATAAGTATTCTCACTGAAGAATGTTGTATTAAATAAACTCTCCCCTCATCAGGAGAGTTGGGGGGACGATAAAACTTTTTTTATTTTTTTTTTTTAAAAAAACAAGCATCAGACCATCAAAATAAGGCACATAGTACAGAAATACCTCCCAGATTAACCAAGTGATCTGTAAATTAGAGAGAGTGAGCTCCAGATCCCAAAGAGGGGAAGAAGACCAAACACTTGGGGCAACAGCACAGTCCTTGAAACACCAGGACTAAGATATCCGCTTCTGTTGGTCAATTGCATAGTTATAATAATGCCTGCTTTTTGAGACACCTCTCAGATAAAAACAGAAAACTGATCTAAATAGTAGCATTCTCTAATAATTTCTGTTCCTATCTCCACCATCCATGATGACTGGAAGTCTGCAATGCCAGTGGAGAATTAACCATATAAGAAACAGAGAGTGCTGTTTATTTCGCTATGGAGAACAAGCGGTAAGCAGCAAAAAACCTGGAAGCCTTCTCACTTTCTTTTCCTCTGATTTCCACTTCTATTCTACTTTTTTTCCAAGAAGCTGAGAAAATAGAACACAGAAGAAAACTCTCTGAGAATAACAGCAAAGAACTACATTAGAACACTACAGCCAGGAAGCAGGAAACACCAAGGCCAGTACAGAAAAAGTATTTGTGAAATTCACCTACTACCTACTGCTTAACTTGTGCTATCACATCTCCTTTACATATATTTAATAGCTTAATAACTATCAGAAAGGCAAGAGCTGAAAAGTATGGTCAAGCTGTGAAACTGCAATAGTTTTGTTTGTCTTCCTTTGTTCTAACAGAAGAAACTCTTCCGACACTACATGAATAATAAAAGGAAGTAGAAGAAACACACCACTGATTCAATGGTATCACTGTATTTTTACAAAGTACTTAAATACTTGGAAACTGGCCTGACAGTACATCCATATGTCACGGTATCAACCGACTGCCCAGGGCAGCAACAAAGACCCACATGGCCATTTGCTCACTCCTCCCCCCACTCTGTCCCTTTAGAGATGGGGAGGCAGAAAATTCAACTAAAGAGGCTCAAGGATTGAGATTAGGACAGAGAGGGCTCATTCATCACTTTCTTCCCCTTTCCCACCTACCTGCTACTCTTGGTCTAGCCTCACCTCCCCCTCTTCCAAACAGAAAAACACCCAACACCCCCAACAGGATACAGAGACAAAAAAAGAGACATAGGAGTGGTACGACAGGTGTCCCCTCTTAAACACATTGACTGCAGAAGTGCCACCCATTAGCCTGGTCTTGATCAGAGGCGGGTCTGACTTTTACCTGGCGGAGACTCTGGAAGTTTCGCAAGAATCACCCCGCGCAGCTTTCCCCTCCCCCACCAAAAACCCCACACTCAAACTCACAGCACTCTAGTATCAATCCAAAATTAATTTAAGGGCTACATTAAGTAAAAAATAAAATTAAAAAGTAAAACCAACCACACCACAAACCACTAATATTGACAATTAACACGAGATTAACTGCAAACCAAGATGAGCAGGCTCTTACCTAAACCTCGATGTTTTAAATTTCTTCTTAGATATCACTACAGGTGGTTTCTCAGAATAATGGAGTCGTAATCTTATTTCTGTTTGACACGTCAGCCACCCAGCATCCACAGTTTCAATACCATCTATCAAAAATTAAACAAAAATTAGGAAACAATTTAATAACTTATTTTAGGTGTATCTAGACAAAAATATGAATACAGTTCCTCTGACACCACCTTCCAGACAATCCTCTTCATGACCAGCCTTATTCAACAGTATTTCTAGAGCAATTACTGAGTGCATCCTTTCACCCTTCTGAACTACCCAGAACAGACAACAGATACTGCAGGATTGAGCACTGAGAGGTGGGTTAAAACTGCCAAAAGTGAGACATCTGCACTCACACAAACATGAGGTTTGAGCTTTAGAGATGTTTTGGTAGTTACACGCCCAGCTGAAGAGGCAGATCGTGTACATTTAGTACAAGCGATGAGACTTTTCTTGGCACTAAGAGTTTTTCCTAAGGCTAGGTTTTAAGAGAAAGTTAACATTCTGCATTTCCAAAAGTACAAAAAGCGTTCACAATCTAAGCTCTGCAAATTTCAACTTTTAATATCAGCACACTGACAATACTTTGACTCTTCTGAGTAGTCTTTTATTAAGGTCAGAAGGGGTTATAGCCGAGGTGCAAATTCACAAATGTTGGATACAAAACCAACCGTATAAGCACAGAAAGCAATCCCTTACAGGCAATTCCTGTCAAAATTTACTTCAAGTATTTTTCAACTACAAAACAATCTTGTTTAAATTAAGTATGTGGTAAAGCATAAAGGTCAATGTATTTCACTTACTACGGATTCCAAAGTATCCATCGTCAATAGTAATTTCGTTTTCTAGAATTAAAAGGGCAAAAGAATGAAAAAAAACTAATAAGTATTTACATTACAAAATACCATCACCAAACTAAATTAATTCTACTTTTCCACCTCACTTCTAAAAAGTCTATCTAACAAAAAAGCAGGAAAACTGAAACAGACAAAGAATAAGCATGTTTATTGCAACCTTCTATAAAGCTTTTTCACAATGTATGCTTTTTCTTAGTTTCTGCAAGAAAAAACAATCAGTACTTTAAATACCCTAAGATGTTTTACTTCAAGTAATCCGAACTGAGAAAAGCAAGAAGGTTGCATAATTCCTTAGTTTGCTGCAGTACTTGGCTGATAATATCTACATCCTTGCTAAATCTAAGATGTTTTTGCTAGCAAACACAAAGTTTCTTGCAAACATAGAAGAAAGCTGTCCTCCTGCACATTCACAGTTAAAGCTTCTAAACCAAGTTAGTCACAATCAAAATGCTTATTCTGCCCTCACAATAGAAACAAACTTACAATATTCAAAATGCTTATTTCACATTTACTTCTATCCTTACCTTCTCCAAAATTTTAATAATTGAAATCTTAAGGCATTAAGAAAATTCACCAGCATTAACAAAACTGCAGCAGTCTAAACAAATTGAACATTTCTCAAAACAGAAATGTCAACAAAATTTTGTCTCTACAACCATTAATCCCAATTTTTGCTAAGAAGAATCATGGGCCTGCCCTCAGTTTTTCATAACCACAGCCAACAACTTAGGATCATAATGGCCAAGTGTCATCCTGGGTCTGCTGCATTTTCTTTAAGATTGCTTATGAAGCACAGAGTATTACTCAGAAGGAGGGGAAAAAAAAAAAAAAAAAATCTCAACTTTTTGGAGTGAAGTTACCCAAATCTAGAGATAAAGTCTGTACCCTAACAGAGGGTAGACTGCTTCCCTACTGACAAATACAGAAACATAATCTTGTTACAGGAACAGAAACACAATTAATTCAATTATTTTTTTAAAAAAGAAAAAAAAGGAGAGTGGGCAAAAAAGCACCCAACACGATGATGGTACTATTCATGATTAAGACCAGTTTCTTTATTACCAACTTGTTTCTAGAAGACATTTTGTCAATGCATCAGAAGGTATTTAATAGATACAAACTCCTATGTGTGGACGAAATAACATTTGTCATATCCTAGAAAAGATAGCGTATAAAACATGCTATCCCACAGCAGCATAGGAGATCTAAATTCCAAGTTACATTCAGAGTTTATTTCAGTCACTCAAACTTCTTCCCTGTTCAGAAAAGCATTAGGAACTTGTATACACAAGTCTGCACACCACCCTTTCTTCCAGCAAAATAAATTTCTGCCTGGTATATAAGCCCATTCATGTTTCTGTTTTCACCAATTCATTTACTTAAACAAGCTTAATTAAAAATTTTTGCTTTAAAATTTCACTAACTAAATAGTTAAATACAACCAGCAGTGACTACACACCCTCCCCCTCCCCACATTTTCTCTCAAAAAATAATATGGATCCTTAGTCTCAAAGAATTAAACTCACAGAAAACTATGACAATTCCAATTTAATAAAAAAAGCAACCCACATAATCTTAAGGATGGCAGCAAAGAATTTCACATCCATGCCATTTTTAAGCCACTTATTTATAAATATATTTTGAGAGTAAGGCCCATGTTGTGCAAATAGAAAAGTTTATACCTCTAACACATTGATAAATTTAAGTACTTTAAAACCATACTTAGCAATTCCTCTAAACCAACGTGCAGCATATTAGCAATCCTATGCATATGCCTCAAATAGAAGCAGTTGATGCCCATACCTAAAGGGGTAATTGATCGTGGTTGTAGATGAGTCTCCCACGTGTGAACTATGACTTCGCAGGGACCATCGATAGTCTGTAATTTAAAAGTTACATGTCTGCAATAATTTCTTTTGTTATATCTGGTTTTCTACCCATGACGCTGTTTGGGATGGCTGTGAACTAAACTTACGAATTTAGGAAAAAGAAGAAGAAAGAGGGTGACAGAGAGAATGAAAGAGAAACAAAACAGATTAGGCTTGTTTCTTATCCCTGCAACTGCTGATGACACTATCTGATGTGTTGCGCATACATACGACAAAACTCGTGACAAGTCTGACAGGCTGAAGCTAAACATGTAATTATTAAATCTTTACTGCTTACAGCTACCCCACTGGACTACTTTAGTTTCCTTCTGAACTCATTAAGTATGCTTCCTTTTTTGTTAAGTAGGACAGAAACAATCTAGGAAGAAAACATATCCCACATCTCTAAACAGCACTCAGCATCTACTCATGCAGTTAACAGTTGCAGGGGTGGGTTCTCCCTCAAAATTTGCTTGACTAATTCAAAGTCTATAGAACATAGTTATTGTAATTTGTGGTACAGAAGATCAGAATATTTAGCACCTAATTAAGACATGAATACTTGGCATTTTGCTGCCTCAAACAGCAGCATTCTCCTGACAGGTACGATTCAACCGGCCAGCAGTGACGCCCCTGCAGTCTATTCCACTTGCAGCAGGATAAAGTAGACTCTTTCGCTCCAGAAAAATTACTGTCCCCCAAAAGACTACATTTCTTGATAAACACAGCAAAAGCTTAGATGGATAATCTGAACAGTAGCTCAATCTCTTATTTCAGAACAATTTAAGTTTGAAACAGCTTTCTAAGTTACAGCTTCTAGGGAACCACTGGCTATCAACAGAAAGAACACGGCCTGGTTCCCAGCTCAGTCACACTTCTTGGTTGTTACCATCAGTCATAGGAACCACTGTCAAATAGCTGCAGAGTTTGGCATTTTGTTGGTTTGCGCCTTAGTAACTCTTACTGCCAAGAAGACTTGCTACTCTTGCCAGACTCGTATAATCTTCAACGTTAATTTGCCCTACAAATCCAGGTTCTTGTTGAAATAGATTTCAGATCAACATGGACATGCAGGCAAGCCTCAAACTCAGCAGTGTAATTACAAAGTACCATAATGCTTCATTATTTTACAGCTCGCTGAATAAATTTTTTAGCAGCAGAAGGGATTTCTTGACATATATCAAACATTTAATCTACTATGCTTTTGACGAGTGAACAGCAAACACCAAATATTTCAAAAGCGGTAACTCAGGCAGGTTTGCTCTGTGAGCCTTGCTAAAAGCAATTCAATTTTCCCAGTTCAGAGGCATCTATACTGAAGAGTCATGTCATAATAAACTATACATGCTTACAAAGTTATGCATTGAAGACAGAATGCATGTAAATATAAAACAGATTGCACTATTGTTTTCACTGTATTCCTGTTACACTGCGGTTTTCATTTCCATCTTCTCATTGCTGCCACAGTGGTACCTCTTACAGACTTCTAAAAGAATAAATAAGAAGAAAATTCTTCCCCTTTGTTTCACCGCAGATCTGCATTTGCATGGCACAATCTGAAGTCTCCGAAGCTGGTGTCTGCCAGCAGGAAGGCTACCATTTCCTAACGCCATGCAGCCTGCAAGCTCTCCCACAGCAACCCCCATGAACAGAGCACTTGTAGTTTGCAAACTCGGAGAATGTAAGTCTGTCCCAAGACAGATTGAACTCTTTTCTTTAAAAGGTAAGGAAAGGTTTTTCCTTGCAGAAATCCCCAAAGTGCATTAAAATATAAATAACAGTTTACTTCTTACACTATTGAAAGAGTACATTTTAATTTTAGATTCTAAAGTTCTGAGCGAGAACAAGTGGCATCATCTCAACAATAAGCCAAACAAGCTGGATACATTCAGCAAAATCTCATTCCCTGAAAGGAATACAGTGATCCAATTATGTATTCAATCCCAGGAACCTATAACACTTTACATATTAAGAGCAGCCAAGCAAAGCTACCTAGGGGGAAAAAAAAAAAAAAAAGTAATGGATTAGGGAACAGAGCCCTCTCACAGCTCCTGCTTGGACAGTGTCTGTGTTTATAGCCATTTAAATAATGTTTTAATTATGTGTAATATAAGCCATTGTTACAGTGAGGTTAAAATCCTGACGTAATTTCAGTGGTGTATACTGACCAGGTCTGAACAACAGCCCAGGTCAGATGAGCCTGTGGCAGAAGTAAATGAAGTCTCATCAACACTCATAGTATCATAACATTACCTAAAAAAAATCAGCCTCTGCTAGGACAGTCTTAGAAGGGCACCTATCCAAACGCCACATCAAGCATCCCCATGGGAAGCATACTGAGATTAATGTCACTGTACGACATGTAGCCCTATCTACTAACACAGAGGATTCGGGTTTTTTTAATACATAAGGATTATGTTGCTTTTGATTTGTATTTAGCTGAGCATCTGAGGCAATCACCTGATGTAATTTTGAAGCTCTTCAAGGACACTCAAGAATTGTCTTTAAAAATCAAGTCCTCTTAAACTGCCAGAAGCTGGGAGGGTCCTGCAGTAGTCAGGAGACACTTTTGAAATTAAGGGTAAAGTGCCTATGTAGCATAATGTTCCAGAAATCAAGAGCAGTCTGATGCACGATTTGCATGAAGTGCTAGAGTGCTCAGTACAATGAACAATGAAAGCACTTCTGTGGATGTTTAAATGACAATTTAGGAGGCCAGTTCCAAACTTCCTCATTCAAGGCAACCTAACAGAGGAAACATTAGGAAAGCAAAATAGTTTTAAACACCTCCCCTGACTATGTTTATCCAACTGCACTTCTTAAAACTATGTTTCAAGAATATTAATCTGCTTCAAGCACATGCAATAGCTCAATGAACTAGAGTTACCTGCTGATGCTGGATTTGTTACAAAAACCTCTGGATTTCTATATCGCGTAAGGAACTATAACTAAGCACCATGACTAACTTTACAAGGCAACAGCACATAGAAGTCACTTGCCAGGATGTCCTGGGCTAAACAGAGATTTTGGAGCTCTAGAATTTCATATAACAGCTTAGCATGCAATCTGCTATCTTGCAACAGAGGTGTTCCTTTCTTATCAGGGTAACCACAGCTTATTAGTCTAGCAAAAGCTTTTCTACGGCATTCCAACAAAATACTGAGTCCAGACATCACAACAGACCTAGCGACAGACCTGGTCTATCAATAGCCCAGTAACAGTAATAGACCTAGTCTAGACCTAGTAATAGTTTCACCTTTACTACTATAGCACAGGCACCCACTTCCTTTAATTTGTTTACATTAGAGAAAAGTAAATTTGTCTCATTTGAAATATCTATAATTAAGCAACATTCTCAGAAGTGTGACAAACATTCACCAATCCAGTTTCCTAAGTCCTGCTACATGCGTGGATACCTTACTTATTTCAGCTTCCTTGGAAGAAATAACCCTAAGCTTGCATGCTTATCCACTGTTTGAAAAACAAATACAGAACATAACTTAACAGACTAAGGTATGTATTTACCTTACTAAGGTTTTCAAATCAGCATCATGCAAACAATACATTTAAAAACGTTCTCCTAAAACATGTGATATACAGAAGACTTAAATTTCAGATATGAAAGGATGACACACCAAAACTCCTAACAAAGAGCATGCGTGTGTAGAATAAAACATAGAAAATCTTAACAGTAACGTTAACTGGTACCTGACTATTGTTAAGAAAAGAACAAACCTTGAGCAAAATAGTTTCAGTTACTGTCTTATTTCATCAAGTGTACGTATTTTTCTTTTAAAATGCTTAAAATGACTCATTATTAAAATATTTACAACACAGCACAGGTTCTTGATATGCAGGAGCTTTGGATGTACACTCATTTATTTGTATTCTAATAAAAATTCTATACATTTAAAAAACCCCAAAACACTATGGTCTATTTATACAGCCACGATCACGTTACCATCAAAACGTTTCAGCACAAACAAACCAAACCTCCCACAATATCATACTACCCTTCAAGCAAAATAATTTAACAGAAATCAAATGATGACTATTTTTTTAAAGGGAAGTGGGAAATAATTTCCTGTTTGTTTCTTCCAAAATTTGAATTATGATATCTATTTTCACATCTAATCTGCAGCAATTATTTTGGCTAACATGAGAGTATCATTCCTCTGTGTAAAGGCGTACCACCCCCAGCTGTGCTAACATGTCCATCTCAGGCATCTTCAAAAACACAGTTGATACAGAAAGGAAAGGAACAGTAACTTCAGCTGGGTCTGTCTTCAGCATGATTTCCTCAAGTATGTGGTATCAAATTCACACATTCAGACTTTGACATTTATTTAAGACTATACAGGTATTTAAGTTATCCTACTACAGACCATGGCACACCAAATTGTGCCAATATAAAAAGTGAACAGTATCTGAGATATCGCAAGCCTTAAGAGAATAATCCCATGCAATCCTTAATGAAAACAATTATTGAAATAAAAATATTCAGAATAATTTACCTTAGAAGTATTTTTCCCTTATCAAAGTTGTTAATGCTAAAGTCCTCCATATACTGCCTCATTTGCAGTATACTGTGCATTTAATTTCTGTTAGAAAGAAGGGATCCTGCTTTTTCATTGTTCTTCAAAAATTTAGGAAGAAAGCACTGGAGTATTTGTCTTCAAAATATTTTATATTAAAAGAAATTAAGCCCTGTGCATTTAACAGGTACAGGCTAGACATGACTAAATGGATAATCATGTACTATGGCATTTCACATAGTTTGTTTTGTAGGGTAGTTTTCTTTTATCCTCCTTTTTAGATAGAGTAGCTCTTTATGCTGGTATTCCATAAAATTCATACTTACCTTAGCAGACTCTGCATCACACGGTACATAAAGCATGCACGATACAGAGCACCTACTTAAAGAAACACACTCACCAACACACATCGTGAACTTTTTCAAATGTTAAAACAGGAATTGTGTTGTCCAAGCACACCTTTTCTGTCAATCTGTTTCTCACTAAGTGTGCTTTTACCGGTGTGTGACTGCTTGCATTTTAACTTACGGATATTTGCAAAACAAAGAAAAAAAAAAAAAGGGCCATCAGAGTTGACAGGCTGTAAGAACTAATCCACTTTTGGCCTCAGAAAAAGAAGTTAATTACTGGTCTTCCTTTCTTTTTGCTCAGAATATCAGTTCAAACATCATTTTCATATTAGACTATTTCACTGGCTATAATGAAAAAACAGAATGTGGTCTCTTGTGTTTCCTTTGAAACTAGTATCCTTCACTGAAATGATACCTCTGTCAAATATTTTTTTTTAGTGAAAGAAAGGCTAGTCCAGCTGACAAAAACTTCTACCTTACTGTCAATAATTTAAAATATTTAAAAGACAGATCAGATGAGTCTACCGCTTCTTGGCATATTTAGCTACAGCCTTCATAATTCCAATTTTGGTGAAGAACTAAAGGCCAGGGTGAATAGCTATAAGATATTAACAGAGTAAAAAAAAAAAAAAAAAAAAAAGACATCAAAGACAGCTTTAAATGAGTTATTTCTTACAGTTACTACTTGTTATTCAGAAAAAAGTTAGAATAGTTGCTTATTTTCCCAGACTAGTCCAACTATTTTTCTGGATGCAGTTTTATCCCTAGTCTGAAGAACTTCCTCCTTACCCTCGACTTCTACAGACCAGTAGAGTGGCAGATACGTTAAACGCACATGCAGCTTTGACATCAATACCTGTAAAAGCATGAGTGTCTGTCTTTTCCCTCTAAGTCATGCAAACACCCACATGCAAACCGAGAGGAAACACCAGGATGTCCCACTGCTTGCTTTAACTTTTCACTCCACAAGATTGACACGTGTTAATTATGCAGCACAAAAGCTAGTTAATACTTCTTATGCTCCACAAAATATATCTGCAGCAAGTTTAAAAACCCGTAGATTTGCTTAATCTACTAAAAACGCCTGCTCACACTAACCATTTTTCTCCTAGTATTGCTTGCTTCCATGCTAGAGATCCTTGCCCTGCTCAAGTTCATACTCAATTGTAAACTGAGAAGTTGTTACAGCTCTACTATAACTAACAAAAATTTCACCACACCACTTAAGCTTTATAATAACATCAGGCATTTCACTATCACTGGCATTTTTAAAACACTAACAGAGGAAAAAAAAGAAAAAAAAAAAAGATATGGCAATTTAACAAAAATAATTAAAGTTAACAGCATATGTCCAGGTATTTCCAGAAGTGAACTCCTTGTATCTCCACAGTATGTTTCATACATTGCAATTTAAGATTTCTAAAAACTAAAGTTTAACTCAGAAAAGTCTTTTTACTTCAAATAAGGCAATTTTTTACTAAGGATGAGTTAACCTATAAAAAGAAAAGGTTGTACATACCTTAGGTTCTAGGAAGTATCCTCTAAAATACCGATACCAAACAGGAACTCCTCTAGGAAGCTCTACAGTAGCTTTCCATAATTGACTGTGAAAAGGAGTAAAAACAAAGAGCCAAACAAACAGACAGAAAAAAAGTTTCAAAATACAGTTTAACAACCACGTCAAACATATGTCTGTCCTAAATAATACTGTAAAATAAAGCTAAGTGTATTACTGGAAGAAAGGTTTTGGCAAGGTAACTCAGGCAAACATGCAGAAAGCACAATACTTACAATCAGAATTAGACTTCCTAATCTACAGATCTGAAGTGCTCTAATTCAGCAAGAATTCTCAACCTCATTTAACAGATGTGGAAAATGATGAAATAATTCAGCGACTTATCCAAGATCACACAGCAATTCAGCAACAAAATTATAAAATACACCTCACAAATCCTATTTTAATTCAACTTAACTTCCATTTTAAGTAATCTTCTCCACGTCTCTTTATAGCCACCACAGTAACGTGAAAAAGTTAAAAAGAAAGTAAACATTCTAAGCGTCTCCTATAACTTGCTTTACAGTTATGGTACTAAGAATTATCTACAGCAGTTTCTTATTCAAAACGTCTCCTACTACATTACTGAAATATGCCAGCCACAACGGTAGAAGCATCGTCTGTAACTAGAAAAGCACACCCAAGCTCAACATTTTCTTAGACACATTTGAAGCATTCAAAATATTCAAGGGCAACAGAAGAAATTCTGGAGAGTTTTACTAACAGTACATGTAGCTCAACAGTTACAAACTCAAAGCCATAATAAATTTATTGCTCCAGAACTCCAGCTACTTCAATGGGAACAAAGAATCGAAAAACACAAGAATCAGAAACTAATAAAAAACTAGCTTACCAATCACCAGTCTGGAGGACCACTGCAACTTGTGGATTCCAGTTTCCCAAAGCACTGCAGCTCCCACATACTGCTAAAACCTCACCTAAAACAAACAAAAAAAAATTTAAACAGAAAAACCCTGCAATCATCATTACTCAAGACTGTATGGAATTAATACGTAAAGCCTGCATGGTCAAAACTTCAAACATATACACTAAAATCACCCACCGAAACTCTCTCTTTTTTGTTCAGAAAGGAGTTTTTCCTATACCCAAAACTACAACAGCATTTTCTTCTCCATCATAAGGATCTTATTGAGACAGGAACCACTAACAACTCCAGGCCTGCAGTAATAACTATTCAAAACTCTCCGGAAATGTAACAGGCAAATTTTCACTGTTAAATGCTTATTGCCAAGATGAAACAGTTTCCCCCACACCGTATACTGCATTATTTTTAATAAATGTACATATACACACAGCGTACTGAGTAACATACATGTCTGAAAACACAGCCCTCTGAAATTCCTATCAACAATCTAGAAAGCACACACAAGTAGGAGCTTGCTAGCATTATTTCCAAGACAATGCACCTAATTAATTTTATTCCTGAGAGAAATAAAACGAATGTTGTGCTATGCTTTGAGATTTTTATTGGATATGAAAACGTAACACTGTTACACAAAAAAAATCCACATGAAATTGTCACATTTCGCCTACCTTAGTGCATACACACATATAGAAAGAAAAAATCCAAAAGATTACAATAGTGTAAGAATGCTTGATTCTGGGGTATCCAGGAGTTTAAGCTGACATGGCAATTTACTCTTATTTTTAATATAAAACCTATATGTATATGAAGAGCAACAATGATAAAGGGAAAGGACAAATTAGTATTTTGCTTGTATATTGTTTCAACAATATTTTAGACACAAGAGAAAGAATCTGTCGCAGAAGAAAAAAATGTTTTAAAGTATATTTAGGCACCACCTGCTTAACCTCTTAATCTTGCTATGCAAAATATAAGAACTACTAGAGTATTCAAGCAACTTGTAAATAAAATACAATTTAAAAAATACTGAAATTTGTTTCAGCTTCTAACACAAAATGCCTAAATATAAAACTTCAAACAAAGTTACCCTTAAACCAAAGCAGACATAAGGAAGTTGAGCTAAAGCCACATTAGTCCCTTAATTACAGGCAGGGAGTGAAGCATTTAAGAAAAAGGACAGAGGGTATCTCAGACTATCTTACATGCCTCAACAGGAATAGCAAGGATCAAACTCACAGCTGAGACGTCCAAGAGGAAAAGCATCAGTCTTAACAAAAGCAAAACACAAGCATCTACGATGGCGATTTCCTGTCCTCAAACGGGGAAAGCAGCAGCAATAGTCTTGGAGCCATAATAACCTCTAGATGGTAGAGAACAGGCAAGCTACCTATAGAGATAGGCTACCTTTTACTAAGCCAAGTATCACAGCTGGAACTTTTGAGTCTGAAACAACAGGTCCTTATGCCTCTAAAATTGTGTCCACTTTGTTCAGTTACAGAAGTTAATCTAGTAAGAGATACTACCAGGACAGTTTATTAAAAGAAAGTCCCGCAGAATAAGGGGCTGCAAAAAAAAATCTGCAAGAGCCAGGAATTAAGTAAGTTAATTTGTTCCTAAAACCAGCTTACTGAAATAATTTTAGAGAGCATCTTGAACAGCAATCCCTTTTTTTATACAATCTTTTGTTTCAATTCATTTAAAAAAAAAAAAACAAACAGTCAAGCTTTTTGGATGCTCACTGCCAGCATAAAAATGCAGGCAAAAATCAGATGTATATTTACTACACAGTTCTCGGCACACAAGGTCAAGTTACTTTACCTTTTCCATTCTACCGAGGCACACCTAAAGGAGTCACAGTCAGTAACCAGCGACTCTCCTTCCTTCTGCTGGGATGAGGCAAAACATGCAGTGCTGTCACAAACACCAGCGTGCTGGGCTCCATCACCTCCTTACTAAAGCCTTCATTTCCACATCGTGTATCAGTGTGTCATTCCCAAATTCCCAGCGAAACCCGAGAAACTCAAGAGAGGTCTAACATGGGGCAGATGTCAAAACTTCCAAAGTGTTTTCATCATTGCCGCTCCCCCCACCAGGTACCACACGCTTAGGCCCTCTGGTGCTCCTTTGCAACAGGAATTCTGCCAATCTGTACATGCTCCAACATTCATCTACTTCTGCCAGGCAACCACCAATTACTTCTTTTGGTGACCTGTCTTCAGAAGTTCCTAAAGATGAAGGTCGAAGTAACACGCACAATTTAACCATTGCGGTGTTCTACATGATCCCACACCTTGCGTTCTTCATTCAGGTTGCAAAGTTATTTTACGTACTTTTGCATGGACACAATAGTGAATCAAGCTATCATGGTCCAGAATGTACTCATTTCCATGGAATAAAAAGTTACTTGTGACAGAACGCTGATTTTAAAACAATTGTAACCATTTCCGTTAGCATCAAAATCTCTATGGCGCTAGGAAATTGTTTGAAGAAAAAGGTAAAAATGAAGTCCCAAATCTCATTTTCAAATACTTACATGAAGCTTCTTAATTCATGATTACAGTGATTTATCACGTTGATATTTGAACTAACGTTTTTTTACCTCTGAGGAAAACAGGTAAGAGAGCCTTTAAACACTGTTCTATTTGATTTTCTTCTAGTTAAACCACGCAAAAAGGAGAAAGCGTGATTTGGGTACCTGGTACTGATGGTCCTCTTACTTCAAAAGTGACTTGCGAAGCGGTCATCCTTGCAGAACTTTTGTCTTAGAATAGTGGAAATCTCCTACAGTGGGAGGAAAAAGATACATTTCAGAACAATATACTACATCTGTTGCTGTCCTGAGTAAGAGGAAACACATCCCACCACCTACAGGAAAGCAAGCCCCTAGTGCTGCTACTGCTTCAGCAAGTAGCAAAAAATAGAAGGCTCTTCAAAACCAGCAACAGCCCTCAAAAACAGCATCCAGCTGTAGAAAACAGCTTGTTCTTCTCCCTCTCTCCATGTCAAGGGAAATGACTTTTCAGTGGTAAAATGACAGTAAGAAAATGGTAGCAATGTAGATGTTTCTGATCATATATTCCAATTCTGTGTGCAATCTTTCACAAGTCACATTTCTGTAACGTTATAAAATCCCAAACTACTGAAGCTAGAAATAAGCTAGCAATAAGCACGCATAATAAGCAATAATTCAATGAAACGCTCACCCTTTATGAGCTTTGTCATGTGTGTGTCATTAGGTGGTCTGTATGTTAACAGTGACACATTGCAGCATTTATTTTTATCAGTTATTTACAGAAACATGGTACCTTTCAGTGCTGCAACTAAAACTGGACTTCAGAACTGGTCCAGCATAACACAAAACCCCCCAGTTTAAAGTAGAGAATGTAATCTAGTAGCGTGTATTTATGAGGCCACCGAATAGTCCAGGGCCTTGGCTGTGTTCATCAGCTGTCCTTGCCTGTACATCCTCTAAATGAAAAGGCAGAAGAGTCAAAGAGAAGATGAACTAGGCAAGAGTGCCTTGCCAAAGACTACGAAAGAGTAAGTCACAGCTGAAGCCCAAGCCCAGTTCCTCCGAGCAAGAAACAGGCTTTTGCCTTGTAAAAAAAGCTGTTTCCAAAGCCAGCACGTGACTCAAAATCGAACACGATGAAAACCAACATGATGAAAACCCCAAAATTAAATACCTATCCATTCCTAGAGAAAAATCTTAAATCCAACACAATCATGATTTTTTTCCAGCAGAACTGCAGCTACAGCTATTGCATTTACATTCACACTTAGGATCAAAGTAGTACTCCTCATTTTAAAGCAATATCGTTTCTAACAGAGCACTGTATGCAAACACACCGCAAGGGAAAATGTAGGTCTGCTTTTTGTTAATGAATCAAGCCTATGTTATACATTCTTATGCACTTATAGAGCATTCAGCACTGTCGTGCTCCGAGCCCACGCCGGCAGCACGCAGCCATTCGCTCACTGCTACCCCACTGCTTTTCAGGACGGGAAGGAGAAAATTCAACAAAAGGCTTGAGGGTCAGGATTAAGGACAAGGGAGGGCTCACCCACTGCTTATGGTCATGGGCAAAAACCAGACTAGACTTGGGGTGAAAAAACATCAACTTAACTCAGACACAGAACCACCACCAGTTTACCAATAAATTAGAACAGCATAGTGAGAAAATAAATACAACCAGATCTTAACTACACATTCCCCGCGCCCCTCCCTTCTTCCTGGCTCCCTCCTCCCCCCACCCAGCTGGGCAGGGGGTTGCGGTCTATCCAGTACACACTGTCCACCCCACTCCTGCCTCCTCGGGAGAGGGCTCCTCAGTTTTGTCCTGCTGCACCACGGTGTCCCTCTCACAGGAGACAGTCCTGCTCAAACTTCTTCAACCTGAGTCCGTCCCACAAGTGCGGGTCTCTCCCGCAGGCTGCCGTCCTCCCACAAACAGACTGCTCCAGCGTGGGCTTCCCTCACAGTCACAGCAGGCCTGGGGCAGGTCCTCTGCTCTGGCAGGTCTCCCACAGGCTGCGGCGTCCTGGACCCTTCACCATGAATGTCTTCAGTCCGAAGTGCCCCAGCCTGCCATCTCTGCTCCGCGGGTGGCAGCGTGCCTGCTCTCCTCACCCCCAAAACAAAGAACTCCTCAACACAAAAGACAGGAAGAGAAGTTGGCCCAACAGGTTTCTCCTCTTAACTCTATTGATCACACAGGCAGTAACTGCCATGGCCTTTGCCAGAGGCAGGTCTGGCTTTTCACCTTGGCTTGGGGAGGCACTGGAAGTTCCACAAGGAGCCACCCCAAAGCCCTCCCACTACCGAAAAACCCACCAGACACAAACCCGTCACACGTACTTTCAAGACATGATACAAAAGTGGGGTTTTTTAGAGGAACAAAGCAGAACCTGAGCTGTCTACTTACTGACAGTTCTTAAGGGAGTAATTTAATTCCCAGAGGGAAACAGCGAGAAACCCTAGACATCAAACCCTCCAACCACTACGTGTCAGATCTTTTAAACCCTACGTTCCTCCCTGCAGATTTTCAGCACTGCCTCACTAAAGAAGCTGACAAAGAAAAACCAAATCCTCTTCACTATCTACACCTGTAAAACATGGACTGTTTGGGAAAATTTAAAGAATCCTAAGCTCAGAGGGGTCATAACTGTATGCCATGGGGAACTGAAACAAGTTAGAACAGTTACATTTAAAAAGTGCTTCCTAATTAGCAAATCCTAACAAAGTCAAGTGAGCAGATTTACAAACAAGAATCATACAATCATTAAGGCTGGAAATGACCTCTAAGATCAAGTCCAACCATCAACCCAGCAGTACTATGACTACTAAGCTATGTCCTCAGGTGCCACTTCTACATGTTTTCTGAACACCTGCAGGGATGGGGGCTCCATCGCTTACTGCCCTGGGCAGCCTGTTCCACTGCCTCACCACTCTTTCAGTAAAGAAATTTTTCCTAATACCCAACCTAAACCTCCTCTGGCACTACACGAGCCCACTTCCTCTTGTCCTATCACTAGTAACTTGGCATAAGAGACCAATCCCCACCTCACTATAATCTCCTTTCAAGCAGTCGCAGAGAGCAACGGGGTTTCTCCTCAGCCTTCTCTTCTCCAGACTAAAAAAATCCCAGGTCCCTCAGCTGCTCCCTCATGAGAGAATCCTGAGGGCTGAGGAAAACGCTACCTGTGCTCCTGATCCCTCAACTCTAGTGCCTCGAAGTCGTTTTTAATCACTTTTAGACCTCTGGCCGCAACCTCATTGCTGCCAACTTGCATAACCAACAGCAAGTAATAATCCAAGGGCCACACCAGACCAACTTGTTCCCTGGCAACGTCTCCAGTCTGGGCTCCAGGCAGGCAACAGACTTCACGGGGGGATGGATCCAGTCAGCATCTGGGGCCCTCTGCTCCCCTCCGAAGGGAAGAAAGGAGTCACCCACAACAACAACCCTCCTTTTTTTTTTTTTCTTAACAGAAGTAGACCTACTAATAGAAGAGTAGTTCCTAACAGGACTAGTCCTAGAAATACTTGTGCGATGACCATTTTTAAACAACCTCTAGGTTCAAAAGTACTAAAGCTGAATTTACATCTGTTGCAACTACAGGTGTACAAATGCCAGCCTGCGTGCCACTGCCTCTCATCCTGTGTCTCACTTCCTTCCCTTAGTCACCTTGCATGGACTGCAACTACACACAAACAAGCGATGAACACTAGAATCTCAGTCACTTCCTCGTGGGAAAGAAAGGTCTCACTCAGGCAGATATTCACACAATTATCAGCACTTCACCAAAAAAAAAAAAAAGTTTTCCTCTGGCTAGAGATTCTTGCTTTTACAACAGAAACATGTTCTTTCCCCTACCATGTCACAGTTCAAGTCTCTCTCACGCTGACCTCCTTTTGCAAAGGAAACCCTTACCTTCCGCAATATTTGGAGGCTTCCCAAGGAGATGGTGAATACCCAGCAGCAGCATTCCGAGTCCTGAGGCTGTACTGACGTGCTTTCAAGAGCTTAACTCAGGCAACCCTGCTCATCAACCAACCTCAATGTATAAAACAGGATGTCTGCAAGGCTTCCAGAGCAGAGGCAGGATCAATAGCCTACTAGATCATATGCAATCTTTGTTTCTCTGCCACAAGACAAAGCCCTGCTCATGGTCTTAGATGGGAAGAACAGCAACTGGGAGTCTTGCAACTTCGGAAATTCACTTGCTTGCCTTCATACGCCCAAAAGAAAAGGAACAAACACTTTAAGTGCAGTATCCTGCAGGCTGAACCTAAGAGAGAGAACGTACCCTTTGTTCTAATATTGCTTGTAAAGCTTTATTTTTCACAATTTTCTCTTCATGGGCACCTGAATGAGCACAAAGGTGACAGGAGTTTACATACTTCCCCAAATAATAGGAGATCCCAGCTCTTTTGTCCTGACTCTAGAAAGGTACTTCTAAAAGATGTAGGCAAACAGCCATGGACCCCTAGAAGCACTTGAAAGAAGAGAAAAGAAGACATTTCAGACTCTCCCAGCACAACACAACCCACTATTAATATGTCATGAAATATCATGAAATATCATGGATGGAGAAAACCAAAACAGTTTTTGGTTGTATTTAAAATACACCAGAACATGAAATTAATTTCAAGCTTGAATTTCATTTGATCTTTCTGGCTTACAGGTCTGGTCGTACAAAACCCCCTTTGCAACCCTTCAATTTTAGGTTATTCCCCTCTGCTTAATTTTCTTAACCTTTCCAATGTCTTTTAAGAGGTACTGCCTGTTTGCTGTTGGATATCTTATACCTAATGTTTCAGGCTTAAATAAATACCTGTAAACAAAGACATTAAGTAATCTGGGACAATCCTGGAATAAAATACCCTACCTTGCAAACACTGAACAAATTTTAGACTCATAAAAATTCATAGAGCCAGATCACATGCTCCTTCTCAATGCAAGTGAAATATTTGATAGCTACTCATATATTTGCGAGGCTTTCACTTCTAATGCTCTAAGGGCAATGTTTGAGACAGGCTTAAAGTACGACATGGCCGTCTTTTTGATTGCAGACACTTACAAGCCTGAAGGCCTTGAACTTTCTTACTGCTGTACAGACAGAAGGCTTTCAAAATTAGGAAGGAAATACTTCAGGTAACTACATTACAACAGACCTGAATGAAAAGCTGACTTTATCAACTGTGAATTGGCTGAAACGGCTGCAGAATGGTTGGCTGTAC